GTATCTAAAAAAATTCTGCTTTAAATGATAACAGAATTTTCAATTAATGAGGGTTTGGGATATTCCAGTGTCTTCTAGCATACCATAAAAAAGCTTGTTTAGGTTTGCTAAAAAAAAAATCAACTTAAGCTTGGCATGGTCTGATGGTTATGACACTCATCACACCATCTACAAGTCACAGGATTGAAACCTGGTGCCAAACATGCTTGCTCTTTCAGCCATGGGTATGTTTTAATGCAACTGTAAATCCAACTATTTGTTGGTAAAGAGCAGCCCAAGGGCCAACTTTGGGTACTGCTGGCTGGTTTCCTTCCATCTTTTTGGCAGTTTAGTATTATTGGCAGCAGTATTATAGCCTTAGTAACTTTACCCTAAACAAACAAAAAAATTGAAGCCCATTGTTTGCTTTTACACTTACTCATTCCCTGCAGTGAAAAAAGAAGTGTAGTTATTGGTTATCTTTATAGGATTGATAGAGATGTAATTAAGAAATATGGAAGGAGGCTAGGAACAGTTTGAAGGCTCTTTTATTGAGAAAATACTTATTCACAAATCTATGTACCAAATATGATAAGGGGTTTGGACAGGGAAGAACAACCTAAACAAGTTCTCTTGAATTAAGAAAATAAGGGACACACATTTAAAGTTCAGATGATAATATTACTGCAAAACTACAGAGAATAATTAAAATGTGAGGCTTACCTATAAAATAGTACAAAAACAAGGTATCTTCCAAAGTAGCACTAAAAAAAAGAAACTGTTTGTAAAAAATATGTGTATAACTGCTGAATATGAACTACATGGTTAATTACATACATATGTATTGATATAATAGGATTGAAGAATACAGGTATCTGTAAACATAATTATAGGTACAAGTATGGGGGTTTATCTTATATATATTGAGAACTGTCTGTCTCCCATTTGAAAAGGTGCCCATGTAGGCAAAGCTCAACATTCATTTTTAAAATGACAGGAGAACAGGCATGAATAATGTTGATGCCAACTTTTATTTCACAAGTGGGATATTCTACAATAAATTGTTAGGAATTAATCACTATTATTCACATTTCAAAATGTGACATGACTTAAAGAATCAAAATGTAGATTTACCGTATGTTATTGTTGAGAGGCTCTTAGCGTGGGTGAAATGCTCAACAATTCCTTTTTGCTCTGGAAGTTATAAGTAGTTTGGAGCTTTGGCTCTGAGTGGAACACAATCTTTTTAAAGTCCATGAAATAATGTAAAATGATAGATTAACTTAAACTCTTCACATCACTTGGGTTGCGTATTTTTGCTTGTATTATGATTTGAACTTTGATTTGAATAGTTCACCTGTTGATTTACATATGTTGTTTATTAATTATTATTGGTTTGGTTTGTTTGGACAGTTTAACTTCAAGGATGTTTGATATTATTATTAATTTGATCCGAACCTTTCAAATATGTGTATTAATGTCGATTAGCTGATGGTGGTGGTCAAGTTTAGTCTCAACTGGATTAATACTTTTGTAAGTTATCAGCTGCTTTTGACGAGGCTGTAATGGCAAAACAAAATAAAGGTACTGTCTTTTTAGGGATATTAGTGTTCTTTTTCCAACTTTCTTTTTTTTTCATGTTTGTTTTGTCTCTTTGTTTATAAGTGAAAAATGCATTAACATTTAGCATTTATTTTTAGGTTAGCTGGAAACCTTCCCACATCAAGTATGAGAGCAGATTTGATAAATACTTGGATCCTAACTTCTTTCAACATAGAGTAAGTAATATTTTTTTGATATCGTTTAAGATTTAATTAGTGCTTTCGTCTCATGCTACATCCATGCATTATGTTAAATAACACATTAATCTGTTTTGTAAGTCTTCAAGAAAATTGCAGTGTATGCTTAGACAGTTTTATTTTCTCATTTATATGTAGGTTTTATTTAAAAAATTGTAATTACGAATATTTAAAGTGATTTTTATGTGAATATTCTTCTTCCATCTACAACATAATATCATAAAGGTGTAGTATTAGAAAAGAAACCCCCAAACTCGGGTGCTTTAGGGTGCTTTCCTTCCTTTTTTGCCATTTATGTGTGCTACCTGATATCCTGGTTTAAAATCTTACAGATTGTTTATGAAATTCAAGGATCAAATACTTGGATATGTGTGTTATTTGTGAAAAAGGAAAATAAATGCTATGCTAAAAGGTTAAGCTCATTTGTGTTACGTGTGGTTACAAAATTTTGTGTTTGTAAGTTATTGTTTTTTGTAGGCATTTTAAGGATGTTTCTTTATATCTCTGAAAGGAATAAATGCGAATACCCAATTGTAGGCAGAAGTTTTGTAAGTACTTACATATTGTGTGATGAAAATTATTTTTTATTGAACTGGAATATGAAAAGTTTGTTCTTTTCAGTCATTAAAAACTAAAGTACGTTACTGATGATTTTCCTCAGAATATTGACAGAAAGTTTTAAGGAATTTTTAAGCACATCGAAATCTTAATACTATATTCTCATAGCAGACAAAAAAATCTTAAAATTCAGCTGAAATAATAAAAAATATTGCTAAAGTTTAGCCTAGGAATTATCATTTGATCCAGTAGTACAAACTTAGTCTTGCATTTTGGACTAGGGAAAAATTCCAAAATTTCATCTTCAATGTCTCTGTAGCTGCAAAGAATATTAAAGAAAATGTATGTAAATGTTTTGAATGTTCCTAAGTGTCAATGATGGTTCATCAAATTTTGTTCAGGTGACTAGCCTTAAAAACTGTGATGACAGGGGCTGACATGTTGGAATTGATATTGATAATCTGAAGTTGCTTGTTGAGTCTAACCCAAGGCAACACACTCATGAAATGG